AATCTGTATGTTGCTGTCCTGAAGTGGATTAAACAAGGTTGTTTATTTGAGGACACTGATCTGCAGATATTTTCACTGCTGTAAAAAGATACATTTTAATGGAATCAAGTGGACTTGTTACTTTTTTGTTGCTTGATAAGAACAAAAAAACACAGGAATTCAAAAAGCTATTATGTGCTGTAGATGATAATTTTGTTATTGTACTCTAGTGTTATCATCATAGAAGTAGTTGAGCGTCACTTTCTTATAAAGACTTGGATGAAAAGATTCTTACTTATGCTACATTAAGCTACATTAAAAAAAAGACACGGGGGTGTGGATGGGGGGTTAGATTGGTTCTTCCCAGACCCCAGATGTCAGTCTACTCCTTTAAATGAGATGTTTTGCCTGAAAACAGTGAGCGTAATGAATATTTGCCCTCGGGCCTTTGGTTATAGACTTTAAAGGAGTACATTGCAGTGCCTCATAATCCAAAACCAAGGACAATGATCTTACCAGCCATAACATTAAACAAGTGCTGCGAGTGTCTAACATCGCCATAAAAGTAACGAGCAGCAGTTGCATTGCAAAATGAGATATTTTTTGTGGGAAATGTGAAATATTTTACGATGAGCATTTTACTGATAGATGCTTTTTCAGTATCCAGGTGGTAATTCATGCTTTCCGAAGCATATATGTTGTTGCACAGTGGTCATCCTTGAGTTCAAAGCTTTCTTGGTCTATTTATGAGGAAAATAATCTTGTTAGTAACTCTTTAAGTGTCTTTAAATCAAAGTTAACCATCCCCTGTGACTCATGCAAAGCAACTCTAAAAGAGTTCAAGAATAACATATGGAGCTGGGAATAAGTATAAGATTTGTCTTTTGGGCTGTTAACGTGTTTATGTGAGTTCAACTAATCTCGACAACTCATCAGCATCCTGTGGAAACAAAGCCTACACAGCAGTGGAAGCAGGCAGAGCTGCTAGCGCTGACAGTTCTAATTGGGTTGCCTTGGCAATATCCGAACTTTCACATCCCATCAGGTGAAAGGACGGAGGAGACCGTTAACTCTGGATGACTTCTGCCTCCCAGTAAGAGCAGTCAGACTGTCCTTTCATCTACCATAAAAAGAAGAAGCCAGATGAAAATAACGCACACTTGGTGATAAAAGTAAAGGTTCCACATTGGCTACCAGGAACATCACAGGAACACCGGAGTAACTAGTTTACAATATACTGGCTCACATGTTGCTTAAGAACAGAATTTTTTGAAAATGGAATCTTTATATAACTTTTTGACAATTTTTTTATTAATTAGATATTCATTTGCATATCTGAGTTTGTGTTCTGCTATTTATTTAGGTTTTTCAGGATTTTTCGTGTCCACAGTGAGGCCACAATCTAGGAATTTTCTCCTTTTCAGGGGTCACGAGCTAAAAACCTCAGCCGACTCTAAACGAACCATCTTCAAACCTCAGTGAGGAAACAAGCTAAAAGTACAGATAGATAAAAACAGGGTCTCAACTGTCTCTCAGTCATTTTTGAGTTCATGCCCTGTAATATTGACCTAATCTGTCTGCAGTGCCACTCACATGGAGGCTGTTCCATCATTTTCACATGAGAGGATATTAGCTCTTTGCAGCCACGGCAGTAACATCTGCGCAGATGCACTCCTGTCTTTTTAAACGACTCCTGGCTCACTACAAAAGTGTCTAATATACTCTGGAAAGACTGAGCTCAACAAGACTCCAAGGATGGTTTACCGTGTCATAATTTGATTAGAGTGCTGCAAAGAATGTGAAAGCAACCTCTGGGAAAAGGAAACACAAAGTAGCTTTAAGAGCCCAGATATCTCTCACAGTGGTGAACCACGTGAACCAAACTATTTTAGCATGTTAGTTCCTCTGATAGGTTTGACAGGATGTCACATTTAAGTACAAGTTAAAAACATCAGAAAGCCGTGGTTTCAGTTTTACTGTATACTTGACATGTCAATGCAACCTGCAGTCATTTTGCATTTCAGTTGAAATAAATGAAATGTGAAGGACATGAGGTGTAGGTATTTGTTAGAAGTCCCCCAGTATTCTTAATTTTTGTGGGTGAAGTAAAAATCTATTTATGCGACGCCTTTCTTTTTAGTGCTCAGATTGCAACCTATATATAAGACACTCTGATGAATATTTGCCTTGCAGCAACATCTGAGTTCTTTCACGAATAATAAACTGCACAAATAAATTAATATGTTCAAAATAGTTTGGAGTAATTGTTTGTTATGCACGGGCTTCAAGAGAAAACTGCACAATGCAGACTACTAAAATTCTAACTACTTACGCTTATCACTGCCATCAGTGAGGAACAATGTGCAGTCTTTCTGCCGATGTAAAGCTGTATCATCCCACTGGGGCCTTTAAAAACTCAATAACCATGTTCCATCGTGTTCTTAAGAGCTTCAGTGGAAACGGTTTACTGTCTGGAACACTGCAAAACTGAAAAGTGGGTTTATATGCAAAAACCAATGCAGCTTTTTGTATGATGGTCCTTTTGCCACCTGCTATTTGTTTGGAGTGCTAGTTAAATAGCAAAGTGGACAGATGGTCTAAAAAACACTGTAAACACTCGTTGTAGTTTGAGCAGGAGGGATTCTTCATTCTGTGAGAAGTTTTTCATCCAAACTTTCCTCCAGTTTGTTCACTGGGCCAAATCTTCACCTTATGACCTGTTGCTTCTGGCTGAATACAGTGCATATCTCACTTCTGCAAGCAGGAACACGGGCATGACGTTAGGGTCCCCAGAACAAATATTGCTTAAGGCGCTTTTTGTTAATTATTAATTCTGATCTACTTCCGGCTCCCTTTCTCTGGCTCCTGGAATCATCTCAGATTGTGGCTCTGTGTTTTTTCAGAGTTCATTAATGCAGGCATTTTACTTTCTGATAGTCTAAACCAGGAGAGAGCAGATTATCCAAGCAGCTTAGGTTACTATGGTGACAGCTCTAATAAAGGTGAGCCCAGATGAAATGCAAAGCTACCTCATAATAACCGGTAAATCATGCACATTTCCACTAAAGAGCACAGATTTCAGCTTGTGCCTTTAAAACCGTGTGGTCAAATCAAAGTTGGAACTTCATGTTGTACTGAATGCCACTTTAAACCAGCAATTTGACCTATAAACCCATCAGGGAACTGTTTCCCAAAATCACAAATCAAGTAGGCAGTACATTTGTTTTCCCCTTCGACTTCTATATAGCTGGGTTTATTTTTACAGTCAGACCATAGACCATCAGTGTAAAAGATGAACATAGCATCCAGGTCTGAAAAATGAAGCCAAAAGTGCCAAAAACCTTCATCAATTTTAGTCAACAGGGATGTTTCATCTGTTTTTTTGTTTGTTTTTTTAAAAAACTTCTGTTCCTGTAGGAAAACGTTGTCCGGCTGAGCCCTCCTGCAATTGAGTCACTCATTTTGAGACATACAAAATAGAACTTTGAGTCCATTAATGGGTTGCAAGATATGTTTTTTACTGGCCAAAACCCAACCTGGTCACTGGTGGTGTGACAGTGATATTGGACAAAAAGGCCTGGCTTACAGTCTCTGGTCTAATTCATCCCAAAGGTTTTCTGTGGGGTTGAGGTCAGGACTCTGTGCAGGCCAGACAGGTTCTTCTATATCAAATTCAATCATCCATGTCTTTATGGACATTGCTTTGTGCACTGGGGTACAGTTATGCTGGAACAGGAACCCCACACCAACAGGATGCCCCCTCCACCAAACTTTACACTTGGCAGAATGCCATCAGACAAATATCGTTCTCATGGCAACTGTCAAACTCAGACTCGTCCATCAGATTGCCAGGAGGAGAAGCATGATTCATCACTCCAGAGAACACGTCTCCACCGCTCTAGAGTCCAGTAGCAATGTGCTTTATACCACTGCACTGGCTTTGCGTCACGCTTGGTAACGTAAGGCTTGGATGCAGCGGCTCGGTCATAGAAACACATTCCATGAAGCTCTCTACACACTGTTGTTGAGCTAATCTGAAAACCACATGGATTTTGGAGGCCTGTAGTAAATGATTCTGCAGAAGGTTGGTGACCTCTGCCCGCTATGCACCTTAGCATCCACTGACCCCAGTCTGTAATTTTACATTAACTACCACTTGTGGCTGAGTTGCTGTCGTTTCCAATCGCTTCGCCTTTGTTGTAATACCACTTATTGTAGTAGCAAGTGTGTAGTTAAAACTGCACTTGTTGCACAGGTGGTATCCTGTTATATTTTTGTCATGCAGCACTAATAAAAGTAATCAACTTCATTTTAAACATATATTTCCACTCTGTGTGCTAGATCACTAGATTGATGTGGCTTTAGTTTCCTGTATTTTTTGCAGCAGTGTTGCATTCCCCTTTTTATGTGATCACAGCGTCACAGCCTGAAACCGAAAGCCTAACTTAAGAGAGAAAGTTAAGAACCACAGATTTTGTCAAACCAGCTAAGGTAAAGAAAGCCTGGCTGTGTACAACTTCCTTCATCTTATACCTCTGGTGATTCTGAGAACAAGAAGAGAGGATTAGCCAGAATATGCTCATTGGTTAATGACTTGTAATTGACAAGTGATTAGCCAGTAAGTGTTCATACTCAGACCTGTCCCTCGCTCTTAACATCAACCTTCAGAACACAAAAGGTGTTGATGACAAAACTCTTCTCCAATGCTTCACAGCAGGACCTCATTAACCAGTGAAGTCCTTCTGGGGTATGTGCATCCATGTTTGATTTTTAATACTGTCTATGAGCCAGAGTAATCACCCCCTGCTGGCCTTTTTTTTTTTTTTTTTTAAAAAACCCACAAGTTTCAGGCACTTCTACGTGGACTTTACTTTTGAGACCCAGCATCTACATCCATCTTTTATGGACAGTCAACAATTAAGAAAATGTATCATATGCAATGATGCACTGAATCCATATTGTGTTTTTCTTACTCTAATAATCAAACATAAGAGCACAGACAACAAGACTCATTTCAAAAAGAGACAAAGATTCATGGTTTACTTAAACTTCAGGTACAGATAACAAAGACAAGCTCCACAACATTTTCTTCAGATGTGCTGGAGTGAGGATTACCCTTAAGGGCAAAATGAACACTGCTTGTATTCAGCGAGCAGCTCTGACACTGCTGTCTGGGTGAAATGAGATGAAGTTGAACCACACAAGGATCGAGTAACAAGACACGCTATAAATAGAGAAAAAAAAATCTGCTCTACTTACAGAGTCATGACAGTTTAAGTCAGATGTGTAAAGCTTTTTATAAAACTATACATTCTGTGATTGGAGAGGCTTTTGGGAGGGGATGAAAATCAGGCTATTCAATTTATCTTAGATAGCTGAATTCATGTTTGCTAAGGCCATATGGCAACAGAGGATGTTGAAGATTGTGGCGTTAAGGCAGTAGCGTCGATGTAACTAATAAAAACATGATGGACCAAAAATCCACAGCTGGACTGACAATATTCAGGTAGGAATTATGACATCTGTGCTTAACAGAAAACAAAGATATGGATGTTTGCTACAGGCTGGAGGAGGACAGTGTAACAGATTGTGTTCGGTAAAGGCTACTCTACACTTAAGTTGCAACGCAATTAGCCTATTTTGAAGAGCACGAAAAAGCGGACATCATTCAGCTCCCGGCTCGCTTTTGATCTCCTCCATCCTGCTGTAATGAGCGGCCAGCTCCCGAAGCACGGCTGTCCTGCCCAGGTGATCGTTCCTCCTCTTCTCCATGATCATGTCCTCCAAACTCTGAAACTCCAGCACGTGCGGCTGTTTGCCCGTCATGAATATTTTCAACCTGTAGGGCTGCTTGCCTATGCGTATCTCCCCACCCATTTTGAACTCCCTCTTGCCGAACCTGCACCAGGCTGCAAAACACTCAGAGTTTCTCCAGCTCAGCTCCCGGTCCTTTAATCCCACCTGCTCCATCGCGTTCTGCACCACCATGTCCTGACCCAGAGCTTTGAATTTGTACAGCTCGTTAACAATCCGACACCTCCTCCCTTGACTCGCATCGGTCAGAAAGCGGTTCTTTACCTCGGCTCTGTGCAGGTGCACCACCTGGAAGTCTCCCACATACACCGCCCAGTGCGGGTACTGACCCGTAGCCACAAACTCCACCAGATCACCTGGTTTGCATTTGTTTAGCAGATTCTCTGGGGAGTAAACTTCCAGGTTCACAGACTTTGCGCTCTTCTCGTAAATGCATTCGTCTCTGTTGTAGACGGCGCATTCCACCTCGTCGCGCTGGTCGTACTGTTTCTCTTCCTGATTCGGGTCTTTATCGGAGCCGTCTACCGCGCAGCCGTCCTCCAGCTCGTCGTCGTCGTTGGAAAATATGTAAGAGACGCCGATCCGCGGACCGTCCTCGGCGTCCACGCCGTTGGGGTCCACTGTGGGAACTTCTGCGTAACTTAAATGCGACAGCCTGTCCATCTGGTTCCCCATGCCGCTGCTCACCTGGTAGCAGCTTGTGTAATGTGATCTGATGCCGAAGGCTGTTACCGGTCGCCAAACATCCCAACCATCTGCCACAAAAAGGCTAAAAAAACTTCCTTCGCCCTGCCCTCAGACAGGGTTTTGTCCAAATTACGCATAAGAGTAACTCCGTTTACCGAATGCGCCGATAACCACTCGGTGCCCCATCAACAAGTGGAGTTGGGAGGAAAAGACAAACTGCTTACAGATTCGGCGAGGACAAATATCCCTCAGGTGTAGCCTCACCTCCTGTTTCCCTGCGTAAAGTTACGTCCGCCCTCTGTCGGAAAAGAAACGATGAAAGCAAAATCCTCCACAGACACAACGACAGAGCGACGTGTTTGCCTACATACGCAGATATAAGCAGCTCAGGAACTGAGCAGCGTGCCACACCGGGTGACTCGGCATCAGCAGGGACTCTCTCCAGCCACACGCAGCGCCGCTTTTAAAGCGGAAGTGCGCGTAATTTTCTCCACCGCATCTTTAATATCCGCTCCTGCTCTCTAATGAGCCGTTTCGTTCACTCGGATTCTCAGTTCATGCTCAGACTGACTCATTAAACTGTAAAACAATATACACAAACATTTTATTGTGTTAGTTGTTTGCAGTCAGATGGATCTACTTTGAGTCTGTTGGTTATTTTAATTGTAAATATAGTTTTGGAACTGAGGATATATGTATATTTGTGAGAACAAACAGACTAATTTTATGATTACTTTTTAGTGCTCTGGTAATTACTGCAGGCACACTGTCATGGTCTTAACATGTATGTAAGTGTTTGTGATGTTCTTTGATTTGTGGTGTGTATTGGAAAGAAAATCAGTTAGTCAATCAAACTAGATCCTGGAATGATGAATCTATAGATAAGTGACTGATGCCTTGGTACAAATTACCACTGTCCTATAAGGGGACAGTGGAGTGGGGTGTGGGGGCGGGGTTCTAACATCTGGAGATATTTTTACAGTTTTGACCACCTCTCTGTCCTTGAATGGGCTGAAGCTGCCAAGTACTTTGCCTGCTATCTCCTGGAGGGACCATAATATTTCCATTATGTTTGTACTGGCTCGTAGAATGCCTGGAGGTGCTCGGTTATGGACTATTTTCTCACCACTGTATCCCTCCGTCAAAGGGAATATGCTCCCCGAAATGGCACACACTGCTACTGCTGCTGCAGCAACCTCTGTGTGACAGCACCTGTATGTGAAACGGCTTGAGGAACAGGACAGGTGCTGAGGGCTCCGAGCAAACTTGCAGTTTAAAGGAAACAAATGTTACATTATGAAGACAAGAGAGAGAGAGACAAACTTTGCAGGGTGAATGACCCTGAGTGTGACCTCAGTATAGTTTCAGTGTCATTCTGTCCTTGGTGAAATGCAGAATCACCTATTACAGATTTCTGCAGTTTAAGCAGGTAGAAAGGTCTCATTTAAGAACTCAACAGATTAGGAAGGAGACCTTTTGGCAGCACTCCTCCAGACTATCAGGTTAATTAAGAGACTGACCTGTGAGCTGCAGAGGATCACATTAAGTTATTTCCCCATAACCCCCGAGTAGTCCAGGATGAATGTTTTTCCAGGTTAGTAAGACTGTGGCAGGGTCACAAAGTGCATCTGTAATGCAGATTTCCAGGTCACAACAGTGCCACTGAGCGTTAGCACTCCAGATATGGATACAGCACTGTATGTAACTGTAATTCCACTTTTAGAGTTACATCAGCACATTTTTTCCTAGTTGAACGAATGTAATTAATCTAATCAGGCACAAGAGTTTGTAGACTTGTGACATTTGTGGCCCCCAGATGCTCTACTGGAGTATGAGGGTGTGCATGTGTGTCATTGTTTGACCCGATACTGATGCAGCTTCATTCAAAGATCATCTACTTCTGATTTCTCTTGAAATGACATAAAAAATGACAAAGCAGCAGACTGTGTGTAAGAGGCTGGTGTAATTTCACCATTCACAAGCGTTTCATCCACTTCGGCTCAAGTTTGTGCTCATTGTGTGAATAAGCACAATTTTTTTCTGGGCTTTTGTGTGCGGCTGTGTGCGCGCGTTTTACTTTCCTCTTATTTCACTCTGATGCCCTGCAGCAGCCTCAGTCTGACGCTGCATATGATAGGAGTCAAAAATAACATGCAGAATGAATTCAGCAGATGTATTACACCTTTAGAGGATGAGGTTTTATATCAACGCAGGCTGAAGGTGTTGGGAAAGAAATAGACTGTTAGAGTGGTGACATGCAGCCTATTTGACCGCTTCTTGGTGCTTCTTATCCTCCGGTGGCATGACCCAGTTTACGCCTCCGGTGCCCCCTGGTAACACTCTGTAATTTGTGGTGCTGGGAAATTACTGGAGCAGGGAGGCCTGGGAGACACACTCAATTAGACAGGGTTCCACCTGTCCGATGGGGACACAGCCAGCCTCAGACTGACACCTTAATCTCCCCCCACCCCCCATCCCAAAATTGCAGGCTTTTCATAGCTTTTTCAAAGGCTGCACAAGCAGGTATTCAACAATGCGTTTTTCAGCTCAGTGTCCGTTAAAATCTATGAGGATAGTTGAATATGTGTATACTTGAGGCAGATGGACAGAGCATCCGGACCGCTGCGTCTTGCACACCATCTGTTCCACCTGGCTTGGAAAACATCTAATGGCCTACTATGGTGTAATGTGATTGGCCACAAGTCAGAGGCTGTGGGCGGTGGAATCAGTGATTCAAAACCTTCAAAAGTGTACAAGAAATAAAATACACCACTGCAGGATATTATAATGGAGAGGGGGGAGGAGAGAGTTTGATCTTATTACATATTTATTTATATTTTCATATACTTTTTACATATTTATCTGTAATAGTATGTAACCGGAGACGAGGCAAGATGGAGAAAAGGATAAAGGAAGGGCATGGTGAAGGAATGTCACTTTCTTCTTCTTTTTTTGTAACCAATGTAATTACAAGATCATGTTTAAATCTGTCAAATATCCACAGTCCCATTAAACAAGCTACAACAAAGAGTTCCTAAAATACCTGCTGACATATAAAACTAGCATTTTAAACACTGCGGTGGATGTATATCTAGGGGAGGAAGGGGGTAGGGGGGTGTATCTGGGACGACTGAGTAACTGCAAGTAGATAACAAACAGGCAGGACTGGGAGGAGACTCTTACTGTGAAAGGTAGGCGTGTATTAAAACACACCCATGACGTGTACAATACTCACGCAACATACTCACAATGGTTTCTACAGTCATCATGCTTCAAAAGGTCCTTGTGACAGTTGTTTTTTCCCCTATTTTAGCATCACGTATCAGAAACTACCACAAGTGGGTCAAAAACAGAATGTAGATTCCTTTAAAAAAAAAAAAAATGGAGAGAGAGCTCAACAAACTGGGTTTCCATTTAAACGCAATAAAAAAAAAGTACTCTATATTCTCAGAGCAACACTGAAAAAATTCACGATAGGCTTCAGACACTTTTTGGGCCATCACATCTCTGAGATGCTGGGCAAAGCATTAGCATTTCCATCCCCTGGGTCTGCAACAGCCTTCACAACAAAGTTGCCTTCTCTCTAGACTACAAACCCCCTTATTTTTTTTCAAAACATGGTGTAAACAGAATCCCCTGGAGAGTGAGCAAGGCTGGCCAAGAGTGCACCGCACAAAAGCTGATCCACAGAGAGGCAGAGAGAGATAGCTGGCAAGCGACAGTGGCAACAGCCCTGGGTCAAACACGCAGAGCTAACTGTTCCCATTCTTTTCAGTTTGGTTCAGTTTGATTCATTTTGTCAAATTCTTGATAATGGCTGGCAGGTTTTTTGATCTGACGTTGGTAATTTTTATTAGTTAGACACACTACATCGAATGCATATTAACAATTTAAAAAAAAGAAAGAAACTTGTGAGATTTAAAAAAAACAACCCCCCCAAAAAAGGAAATAAAAAAAATCAGGAGATATGATCCCAGACCTGGTAGTTTTTGATTGGCTGAAAATAATAAGGCAACACCAAAATAAAAGAACAGAGAAAGGAGTAAAAAGAAAATAAATCATTATAAAGAAATAAGGTCTTTGGTGTTCTCTAATGGATTAAAAAAAAAAAAAAACGCAGTTTCTCAGATGCCTCGTATGATACTTTCCTTTTGGTGAGCTCTAAAATCACGTGCACACTACAAATGAGCCAACATTTTTTAAAAAAAAAAAATAATTACATGATGTTACTTCATCCACAGGTTTGAAGAAATCCTGCACAGTGCAAATAATAAATGCCCCAAATATTGATTACAAGTAAAGAGGAAAGATTTTTTTGTGCAATAGTATCATGCATTAGATCACTTAACATGAGACAATACAGGGAGGCAGCGGGGTCTTATCAACCTGGTTAAAGTCCAAAGAATTGGTCCTAGAATATGCATATTGTCAAATGATTCCTGAAGAAGTCTGTTCAACACTTTAATGTTTATTTTATAGGTCTTTTTTTCTTTTTCTTTTTTAGAACATCTATGCAATATTAACCATTTTACACTCTGCTCTCAAGGGTCACAAAACATCCATCGACTGAAGGGGTGGGGGTGGGGTGGAGTCAGTGGGAAAACAGCGCATTTGTTTCCAGTTAGATGGTCTTCCAGGTTAAATGATGTTTACCTGCATCGCTGTGATATAGTGTGATAATAGCACCACTCCAACAGATAACACTGCCTTGCTACGAATACGAGGAATCACAGAGGGGAGGGAAGGAGGACAGCAAAGAGGGTTGGTACTAGTGTCGATGATTCCTCATACAGTAGGTGAATGACAAAGTTCTGATGGGGCCAATTATCCTATGACTGGATACTGATGGACAAGAAGGCGGGGCTTACGAATAAGGGAGTTTCCTTGTGACTGGATTTAAAGATGCAGGGCTGGAACCACGAACAGGAATTTCCACAGTGAGACGTGACGCTGCGAAAAGACATTAGCCCCCTTTGTTGGGACGCTGCTTCCTCGTTCCTAAATCTGGAAGTTTTGCTGATGCTTTATGTCAGTTGGTCTTTCTGCAGGGCTGAGATGTCTAGAGGAGGAGGGGCGCGCCCGCTCCATTCCTTCAGCTGCCCGTCCTTGAAGAGGAGGTTGAGGGCGGGCAGGGGGACACCGGACTCTGGCGGGGGCTGGCTGAGAGGGTTGGACACGCCGCTGTCCAGGTCAGAGGGCTGGCTGCCATCCTGCCAACACGGGGTCAAAGGTGACAGATCAGAACACCAGGCAGCGATATGAAGGGCAGGGATATATTTTTATAGGAGGAAAAGCCAGCAGAAGGGTTCCTGTGTGATTCATGAAACAGCCCACCATTTCAACCAGTAAATACTGCTGCCACGTCCTTTCGCTTAATCATGTTACCTTCGTGCTGCAACACCCTGATTCAGCTCTGATTACTTCACTTATTTTTTCCTTTGTCTCCAATTTCTGTCTTTTCTTTCTTTCTTGCACTAAATGTTCACCCAGCTCCACTTCCTGTTTTGCATTGTAATGTTCATGTCTTTAATTGATCACTAAAATTAAATAAACACCAACTTAAAGTGGACCCATTATGCAGTTCCTTATTTTCTGTCACATATGTACTATTACGATGTTGGATGCTCCTATTACACTTGGCAAAAGCTTCAACTAATGAGGTCAGCGCATGTGTAAGTAATCGCAGAAGGCTGAAAGCCGAGCTTAGAGACTGCTTAAAACACTCTGATTGAGACCATTTTTTTCTACTTTTGTCTCTTTATGATTACAAAGAGAACAGATGCCATTAATATAGTCATCCAAGGGCAACCAATCAGAAGAAAGATGCCTTAATGAGACTAAGGGGCCATATCAAGGCCAAATAGAAATAAATAGAGATTGCTATTAAAATGTGAATGAAAATCAGCACAACAGGTCTGTTTGAAGGTTTTTCCCTAAACTAGCTGTGGGTCACAACAGTGTTCATGAAGAGTGTGAACGTGTGTTTAAAGTGGTGAATAAGAATCACTTTAAAGCACTGAGGTTAAAAGTAATAACAGTTGTTAATTATGCATAAAACTGAACCCTTCCTTAGTTGCACTGCAATCAGTCTGCATTCAGTTTCTTCTTCACTCCCTGTGCATTTGGATGCCATTTTTATATGTCATTAACTTTTATCTCCTCTTTTATCGTGTTTGTTTTGTCCTCCTCTCTAAGCTCTGTTCTTTCTCTTTTCTTTCCCCTCTGACCCTCCAACCAATCACAGAAGATGATTGCCACTCCCGGAGCTTGGTTATGCTGGAGGTCTCTTCCTGTTAAAGAGAGTACTTCCTTTCTACTGCTGCCAAGTGCTGCCCATCACCTGATTGTTTGGGGTTTAATGTTGTAGGGTCTTACCACACAATTTAAAGCAACTTGAGGAGGCTGTTCTGAATTGACGATATATAAATAAATTGAAAATGAACAATGCTTAAATAGTAACATTAATTATGCTAAAACAACATATTTATATTTTTACCACATTGTACTTTCCTGTTATTACTATGATATTTCTTTCTGTCTCATAAGGCCCACGTGGCTCGTGTCTTGACTGGACATTTGAATGGATTATCAGTCTGGGACGCTTTTTAGATACAAATTGTGGCGATCTGAATTAGTTTAAACAGTTTATCAAAATAAATGGATAAATTATTGTCAACCTGACATTTGCTCTTTTCACTGGCCAAGACTTTTACTTTTGAGCAGGATTTCTTAAGCGGACACCTGAAGAAACTGCAAAGTGATTTTACCTGGAATGACTGAACGAAGCTCAACACCTTGAGTGACAGTTTTCGGCTCGAGTGGAGTAGCTCTTGAAGGCTGAAACAGCAACAAATCTTTAGTCAAGCATCAACACACGTCAAAGCTCCTGCCACAGTTTTTATGTAAAAGTTAAGCTTTAGAGGATGCTGCCTGATTTTGGTTTTTACCTCTCGTTGCTGCAGAGCTTGTGTGAAGCAATCTTTCGACACACTTTGCGGTTGAGCTCAGAGCTGAAGAGGGGCATGCCAAAGCACAGTTCAAGAGGGACCCACTCGTTTTCAGATGAAAGGGCTGAGGGGGGGGAAAGAGATTGGCAAGGGAAAGATGGACACAAATTACAACATAAGACACTGACAAGAGCATTTTGGTGTTGAATTTAGCATGGAGCCTCTGTCACACTTTAGCTTTAGCTCTTAGATTCTTCCCAAACACTTTCAACTAACAAACATCTGATTAAATACTACTGGAGATATCCTAATTAAATTAACACACACTTACTGTCTGTCTTTCCTTTGCCTTCACCGTTGTTCTCCTCTGTCACAAGCTCAAAGGACTCAGTGCTGCCATTAGTGTCCAAGCCTCCACCTAGATGGGTGTCTCCTGGAAGAGAAGTGACAAAATCTAAGTCACAGTTAAGGCTTTTGAGTGTTGTTTGTGGGTAAATGGTGAGAGCTAGAATAAAGCCTATAAGACCTTCAACTGAGAAGCTTTTTTAAAATAATTTCTTGCCATTTGCGGGATTTACATTGGAAATTCATCTGTTAAAAATCAGACCTGCAGTGTTGTATCTTTCACTTGGCGCGTTAAATGAGATTTGTGATCATTTACATCAAGATTCAATCAGCTGATCTGAAGGTAAAGGCTAAAAGTGTTCGATCCGTATGCATTGGCAAAGGCAATCACAATAAAAGAAACTATTCTGCAGACAAACGGCATAATTAAACTGGACTGTGAGCAATATTTATCCAATCTGCACCATTAGTGCTATTATGGCCATCGCAGGTAAATGCACCACTGCTAGTTCAACCCGGCATGCTTTCCATCCAGCACCCTCACATGCACAGCCGTAAAAAAAAAAAGTGCACGTGCGAGCTCTTGTTACCTCTGCACTCAGTGCTGTCGCTGGGCCTGCGGCGGTGCCTGTTGTTGGAGTTGAGCATGGTGATGTAGCCACACTGGTGCTCCAGATCCACATGCTCCTTCAGCTTCTGCAGTGCCTTGTGCACGCACATGTTGGAGTAGGAGAACTCTGCACAGGAGGCACACAACACACACAGTGGGATCATGTTAAACACCAAACGGGGCAAAGCTAACACTCAAAATGACACGATGCAAAGATATGGCCACAATTTATCTGCTGCATGAGGCTGTTATGGACTGTGTTTATTCATTTGGCCTGTTACATTTGTTCAGTAAGCACATTAGGAAGATGAGACTTAAATGGTACTTTTAAGCAAATGCACAAAGAGAGGGATTTTACAGGATTCAAAATCTAACAGCGTTTGATGAGTTAAAACCCTCAAAGCTGAAAACAGTGAATGTTTGAGTCAGCAGAGAAAAGATCACAGTTTGAAGGTATGCTTGTAATTTATGCACACCCTGCCAGTGAAAGTATACCAATGCTGATATATCAGTGAATCCGTTTTATTTTTATATAATAATTTAATGTTCATTGACAGCCCTTTTAAGCTACATTCAGAGTCACCTTTAAAGAGGACATCAGTAGTAGAGAGACCATCCTTTACATTTAAGAGTAGCCTTTCAGGGTTGTTCTGATATCTGATTCAGATTCCCTCTATGCATCTTACACCACAGGTTTTCTGGCTATGAGTCACCGAGTCCACCAAAAGCAAACTGAAGACTTTGTACATTTCCTCTTCCTTTGGAACACATGAACCCAAGGTCAGATTAGGAGCACGAAAAATGAGCAGATGGAAAAAGCCATATTTCACAACATCAATAAAAACTTAAAATGGCCTGATATCTGAGGTTTTTATTGTGTTAAAATCCATTTTTGAAATGTTTATATCTTATTGAAATATGCTGAATTGTAGGACGGGGTTCTATTCTGCACCATGAATAGCCATAGGAAATCAAATAAAGAGTCTGCGAGGCCTCCTAATCTCCAATCTGTGGGTTTGAGTTTTCCGTTTCTGGAGAGAACAGTAGCGTGTCAAGAATACTATTGTGAAGCAAATTCATGGTTTCATATTTTCTTATGAGAAAAACCCCTTTCTCCTGTTATTTCACTATCACCTCTCATTCTTTGACAGCCACAGCTTTCTCTGCATAGGTACACTTATGGTTCGCCGATGTTTAGCAGTGTTTTTAAAACAGTTTGATTTATTCAAAAACTTTAAATCTTTAAATCAAAAATAGAAAAGAAAATGCTTTGATTTCTGTAAAATAAGACAACACAGATTCAGCATGTGAGACAGTCGCGCCTCTGTGCAAAGTCAGTCTCCAAAGGTCCATTTTGAGCCAAGAAAATGTCATTTTTTAACATTTTGTCTGACTCAGTAAAACAGGACTCTTCATTATGGTTAAATGCAGGTTGGCTATTTGAAAGCTGCTATATCAAAACAATAGTTTATGCACAGACAGGTTCTTACCTCCCTTCAGATCCTCCTCATCAAAAGGGAATGGGATGTGCACCGTTTCTCCATGCCCATGCATACCATGACCCTGTGGATTATATGCACATGTAGTTTAAATTACAATCAGTGCACATTTATACACAAACACAGCAAGAGTTGGTAGAAAACGTACAAAAATGTCATCAGACAGCATTAAATTAATATTACGTTAAATAATCTGGTATTAAAGGCAATATTTTATCCTCTCAACTTAAATGAGGTTTAAGACAATGACATAGAAAAATCAGCCTCATCTGAGTGAGTTTACCTGGATGAGAACAGCAGAGTGTGTAAGGGCATCGTTAAGCATTGTCAGCACGTTGGATGTAGGGACCACTCCAGGGTCGTGACCCCAGGAAGTTATCAATAACCTGTCATAGACCTGAAGAGAGAGAATAGGTTCAAGGGATTCAGAAATGAATAACTTCACTCATCATCAGATCTTTCCAAAGCAGCTTTCAACAAACTGGACAAAAAATAATAATATGAAGAAAAACACATTTTATTTAACATAAAGCTTTATAAATCATAATAAATTCTAATAAATGATAGTAGATGTGTAAAAGTGGAGATAGGTTTGCAATTTTACACTTCTTTTTGCCCCAAAATAGCTTTATTGTTTATGTAAATGTAAATACAGGTTTCTACATGTAGGACAGCATCTCAGTTGAACCATCTACCAGTTTTTGTTTAATTTAGAAGATCGAAAAACAAAAAAGAATAAGAGGAAACACGATTTTCTTCTAGTTCAACTGTCATGCCATCTTGTCAACCTCCCACTAGGTCAATATTAGCCGGTTAAATTAATCAAGGTTCCACCCTGCTGCTGATTTCACATGCCAAGGATTTTGTTTGGCTCTCTCAAACTGAGAGAGAGCTTTTAGATGAAATTAAGGTGTTATTCTCATGTCTCTGGTTAATTATTTTCAGTCCATAAGTGACTTATGGACAGGAAGTTACACATTTAAAATTGTTTAAATGTGTAACTTCCTGCACTGCCATGAGAAGGCAGAGCAAACAAACAACCAACTCAGTTCCTCCACCCTTCGCTCTTCAGTGACAATCTCAAGCTGGCCCAGTCTCTCCTTTGATCAACAGACTCACACACAGGGCTCAACACCAAACGGCACTTCAGACTTTGCAGGCTGTGTCACTTCATCAGCTTCTCTTTTCATTACGGAGGAATTTTGCCCGACTCTCCTTTACAACGTTGTTTCAGTTCATTGAGATTTATGGATATTTATTTATGCACAGCTCTTTTAAGGTCCTAAATTTCAATCAGCTTGAGGTCTGGACTTTGACTGGGTCATTGCAGCACATTGGTTATTTTCTTTTTCAGTCATTTTGTTGTAGATTTCCTGCTGCGCTTTGGATCATTGTCCTGTTACATGACCCAATTTCAGCGAAGCTTTAGCTGTCAGACAGATAGTCTCGCATCTGACTCTGGAATAGTTTGCTACAGAGGAGTTTAAATACTGTACTCTCCCCGAAGGGCTGTGGCACTGGAGGATTCAGGTTAACGCACTCCAGAATGCTTCAGACCAGCAAGCTGCCAAAACTTCAGCTTTTATGAATACACTCACACTTGCTGATGATCAGTTAATCAAGTGCATTTGATTAGAAGCACCTGGCTACAACTTACACTCTTATCACCTGTGAAAGCAGTAAGAGTGTACTCAGTTTTTCACAGGACTGTGAGATCGTTTTAAGGCAAAAATCCCTTAAAGTTTTCTTATTTACCCCCGCAAGCCTCTACTCCATATGTTATCCCAGCGTGAGATAACCTGGTTCTCCTATGGAAACTCTCTGTCCTTCCACAGTCAATTTGAAATTCCCAAAAAATCAAAAATTGCTTTCACATGATTCTTACTACATGTTAAGTGTTAGCCCTGCAACAGACTGTCAACCTGCTGGCTGGCTGGCTGGCTGGATGGATGAAGCTGCAGCATTTCTACTTTCTTACCTTTCCTAGTTAGCATTTGCCTTAAAACTAGGTCATTAGTGTTACAATGACCCATTAAAAATATTTTGCATGTTTTCTGAACCTATTGAAACACCAACAAAGTAAGAGACATGTAGATAAAAGGTGCAAAAATACATGCATGCAAGCTATGGTCTAATAGGTCCATTTGCATGACATTACACATCTTCCCCTGAGAATCTACTGTATCAAGTCATCATTAGGTCCTTGTCTCACAATCCCAGAGCTATTAAAACAAATCCCACAACCAGTAGGAAGCCTTTGAAGAGAAAAATGCAGGTTTACAGTGAGATATGACCAAGGTCCACGAGAGCCTTTGTTTAGAAAAGAGCTAGCCAGCGCTCTGATTACCCGTCCTTCCGACTCACTGAAGGTCAAAGATTTGAGAGGGTAGGTTTTAAAAGATGAGTGAAAATGTGACTCAGCCAACTGCTGGTCCAACACAGTACTGCTGTTTTTTAATCTGACTAGACCGTGTCTCTACGCCTCTGACTTACACAGCTGATTAATCATTAGTTTGGACAAACCTGGAAAATGTCCGGCAGCTTGCGGAGCCTGGAGCCTTTGGAGAGCAGCAAAGACGGCGGGCCTTGGCCAGTCACATGATACAGGTACAGCTTGAACCAGATGGAGCTCACCTCAGGGATGGCTGGGCCAATGTGCTACAAGGAGAAACAAAAACACACATGCACTCATACATAAGTTTACAGAAGCAGAACTAATGCATGCACACTGGGCAGTTTTCCCATCTCATTCCTTGTATAAACTCACACTTCACATCAACCTAAAAAAATAACACAGGCGCATGACAATAATTGCGTCCGTGTTGTTCTTCTGTCTGAGGGGAAACTGAAGCTGCTATTAGAGACGTGAGAAGAAAACAAAGACAAGAATTTGGTAAATTCCACTTCACTGAGTCGCAGCAGTGTTAGAATAAGCAGCAGCGTGAACGGCACAACAAGAGTTTAACTTCTTTCCCTCTGTCTCTCTGAGCTCAGCTAGAAAGCTGGAGTGTGGCCAGGCAGAGGAATTACTGGTGAGCCTCGCCTCCTTTCCTTCCCTTTTCTCTATGTGTAGCCTTGTTGTTGGGGCAACTGCAGGCTGAGCACTCGGAGCACACACACAATCACAAATCAATCCCGAGCGCATGAGTGTGTACACTACAAGAGAAGGCAAACACAACCAAACGGACAAACTCATTAACTGTCAGCTAGAACACAAACACACACACACATAAACGCACTCGACATGTACCCAAACATCCCAGCATGCCAAATAGCAGCCCTTCTGCTCTCCTTCCTTCCAGGCATCATACCTGAGGGGTGCAGCTGCTGATGGGTCTGATCTCGTTGCTGAGCGGTGCCATCGAGACCAGCAGCTTGTAGTTCTTGTTGAGGACGCGGCTGCAGGTGGCCTGGTCTAGACCCAGCAGGCTCTCACAGCGCAACATGTCCAAGGGGAAACCTAGTGAGAGGAAAAACATGAGAAAATCCTGACTTACTTCCTAAACAGGCTAATGCAAATGTTTATGCGCATTAAATTTGTAGTGTTGTCTCAGGATAGAGAGACTTAACGCCACAGCAAAAAATTTGCACTCCACCGGACTGTTATGATGAACTGGGAGCTTTGTTCCAACCATGCTCTGTCATCATGCACTGTGGGTAGTGACTAAAATAATGGGATTACAGATATAAATGAGCAAAATAAGAGTTGGCCTTGTAGGGTAGCTGGGCTCAGCTGTATAGATAGGGTGATGAGCTTGGAAAGCATGGAGCAGAGGCCATCTGATTAGGATGCCTCCTGACTGTTCTTCTTTGGAGATTTTCCAGGTGCATCCAGCTGGGCTGAGATCTGGAGTTTTTCAGAACTTCCTCGAGGGATTATATCTCTCATCTGGCCCAGGAATACCTTAGAAAGGATCTGTGATCTGAAGGATCTTTTTAGCTAATCTTCAGTGAAAAAACTGGTAATCATGTGTCCTAAAATGTTAACTATTCCTTTGAAAAAAAAAAAAAAAAAGGGCTTGAATAGTTATTTCTAAGTGTGGATGCTTTAGGCAATAATGTGATGATTGAACAGAGCAAAGTTTTTTTTCTTGCTTAAGTTTTCAAAGGATATTTTTGGCATCCTTGGATTTAAAATCCTTGTATCTTGCAGTGGAACCTATTGAATCTAAGAGATGTCTATGATATTAAAGGGTGAAAGACAGGAGGGCTGGTTTAGCTGACTAGGTGAGCAGACGATCCATGTGCCATAAGACCAATGCACAAGCCCAGGTTTGCATCCGTCCAAACACCATTTACTGCCGTGCCTTCCCCCTGGTCTTTATCCAAGCTTTACTGCATTCTCTCTACTGTCTGATCAAAAAAAAAGGCTAGAAATCCCCCAAAATAGATTTTAAAAAGGGGTGAAAGATAAATAATTTCAAAGATACATAAAGTGACTTATATTTAATTAACAAAACGGGGATTAATAATCTACAAGATTTGCAAATGTTCGTTCTGACAGTATCAATTGTTTCTGAGTGTTTTGTTGTAAAAAGTGATTTACCGCCATAATAACTCATCATTAACTACACCTGTAACATGGAAAATGGCACGCACACTTCAACTTTCTATTCTCTTCATTCTAATACAGTTATGAATGGCTGGTCCAATAATTAAAAAAAAAAAAAATCTCCTCTGACTTTACCAAATGTGTTTTTTTTTCTTTGCTTGACAAATTTCCTTCACTTCCCAAATTAACAATGATCATTAGACTCTTTGGGGGATTAGTTTAGCTTCAGCCAGCAGGCTCTTACTGCTCTCACTCCTCAGCTGAGCAGCAGCAGCATGAGGAGCACACAAAGATAAGACAATCAGAAAGGAGGCACACGGCCAAACCAAACAAACAGCATCTGGTGGCGCAATGGAAGCTACGCAGAAACTCAGAGGCTTGCTTTGTCGATGCTGGAGGACATACTCTCTTCTGCTCCCTCTAGAGACACAAGCTGAACAATAAAGGTTTACTCTGTGTACATAGTATGCCGTTGTCTTCAGTATTTTCTGTGAGCATATTTAAGAGACAGCAGTGAGGGCCAAAAGAGACAATAGTGAGAGATGCCAGCCAAAAGCAGCACAACCAGCACAACCAGCAAAAAAGTAATCATGTATTGATTTCCTGAGATCACAGAACAAGTTGCTGAATGGAAGACATTTACCATTTTCTATAACTGCAGTCAGAGCAGCTCAGAGTACTTTCTTAGGTAACAGAGTCAGGATAAAAACATGAACTCCTGATCAGCTGAAAACAGACCACCAGAACCACTGATGCACTTCAAAGTTACACTGTGTCACATTAAAAGGGAGCTTATTACTTCAAGCTCAGTGCTTTTGTTTTTAGACCCTATTATGACAGCGTAACTTTAATATTTGATATTAAAAATAATCGTTGTTTATTTTATAACCGACTTCGGTGCAGCTCAGCTCATTTTATCTGAAAAAAGCTGCTTAGCTCTTCTTCCTGTAAACCATCTTTGTGGCTGACACTTGTAAACAGAAGGTTTGAGAGGATTAGCCAATTACAGCCAGAGCTGTGAGACCTGATCCCTGAGATGACCACATTAGGGCCATCTCGCCCTTCTATCCCATTATTATGATTTAAGAGTAAAGAAAAAAACAAAAGCTGTGTGAAACCAAATATTTAAAGCAGGCTGAATCCTGAGATTCTGGCTCACAATGATAATGAGCATCCACCACTATAATTATAACAGTAATTATATGGATGTAACTGTAGCTGTAGATAAGGTCATCTAATAATCAGAGTTTTGGTGTTTCAGTTCATGCATGCCAAAAGCAAAGATACTGAACAGGTTTCTCTCCATGATACTGAAACAACAAAATCAATATATTACAGTAGGGCTGGGCCATATCATACCGCTCACGGTAATACCGGTGTAATGTTGGGCAATGAGGAGAGCGAAAGTGGATCGTTGAATGAAACGGATGGACCAGAACTGGTTTGTAAAAATGCTGCAACTTCAGTGGTGTTGAACTGGTTTAGCTTTCGTCCGTCAGATACACAACAAAGCACTATTTTTGGTAGAGCATGCTAGCGGGCCGTCGTTACTACCGTGTTTTTTGGAAAATACGGCACACTTAAAATCAATCCTTTGATTTTTCTGAAAATCGGCAGTGCCCCTTATAATCCCGTGTGCCTTATGTATGAATTGTGGTTGTGTTTACTGACCTCGAAACGACTTTATGTGGTACACGGCGCTTGAAAATCTGTCAAATGTATCAGTACGACTTTGCTAAGCTACGAAGCCGCACCGCTTGATGGATTGTTGGAGCTTTACAGCTATCGTAGGCAGGAGCCTCGCGGAGTGATACGTACTGTGCTTCAACATAATATTACCGTATTGTGTGTGTATAACCTCTTTTTAAGTTTTGTGGATATTATACATGGTTATGCTGAGGATATGTCGGCCAATTTCCACTGGAAATGCCTTTTGGTTAAACTGTCAGCGAGGAGTCAGTTAATTTTTTATATAACTTTAATGCACTTAAAAAACAGCGGCTTGTTTAAGTGAAAATACATTGATGGGGTTTTTTGCACTAATAAAGTTGAGGAGTTGTAAAGTAAAGCGTCAATTATATCGTCAGTTATATCGTTATCGCAAATTTTCAAATGTATATCGTGATAAATATTTTTGGTCATATCGCCCTGCTCTATATTATAGATAGTAACTCATTTAGCTCACAATCGACCACAGTTCATAGGTAATTGTCCTTAAAATAACAAAAGTGACCTTGCCTTTGAGCACACTTCTGGATGAAGACCCATTGGATGATCACTGTATACAATTTTTACTAAAATCTGACCAACACTGTAAGAAGGGTAGCCAGTCTTGTAAACTGGGGATGGACGGGTGACTGGTAACAGACCCCGTGTCCTCGTCAAAGTGCTCATTTGAAAATAAAGGCGGTGTAACTGCATAATTACCTATGTTTGGAATATCAGGTCCCTGGTCCTGAGTGAGTTCTTTGTTGTAGCGCAAGAAGAGAATGGTGTTTTTCAGGGTCAGAGCGTGGTCAAAGTAACGCTGAGCCTCGCCCTCTGCTGTGCTCTCCACCTGAGAGAAACAGAAACGAGTGGAGAAGTTCCAACTCAGAGTTTGTGTGACTGTATTCAGATGTCTGCATGTAGTGTTTGATGTCTGTACATACATGTGTATTTGTTGCACCTAGTTAGCATCCTCTCAATTTAAGCTAAGCTTTTGATGAGAGATTTTCTGCAAACAAGAAAGAAATTCTGATTTCTGGTCTCACCTTCTCCAGCTCAGCCAGGAAGCTGTCGAGAGTCTCATCCGACAGTTTGCCCACTTCAAACATGGTCACAGCATGACTCTTCAGGTTCTGATAGCATGACAACAGAAAACAATTAGATCAACAGTAAACATCCAATTTTTTACAAGATAAGTTTTGTTTTTTGTGTTTTTATATGATTAACAGCAGTGATAATGATACAAACATAGTTTGAGGTACCTAATTGCTCCAGATTTTGCTACTCAGAAATTTAGACACAGAGATTTTACTTTTCCAAAATAAAAAAAAAAGTACACTCATATTATAGTTCAGACTGAGGCAAACATCCCTCTGCACCATTCAGCGAGCAGCAGAACTCACATGCATGAGCAACACTGCATTGATGAATATTTTCCCTCTGAGAGATCACAGCACAGCCACTATCTTTATCTTATGCTTGTTACCCCACCCTACCCCACTTTCACTGACGCGAAGCCTTCACGTCCACACTCTTTCACTTACCGGCGATAAGTTGCCCATCATCAGGAAGGCTGTAAGGGTCGAGTCAAAAAGGAAGGCGATCCTCTTGGTGGGTGCAGCTGGGATGCTCAGGCTGCTAACGCTACCTGTGTCTGCTACAGAGACATAAAAATATGCTGTACCACTCATGCATACTGCAGCAAGTCTAACAGCACAGCTACATGCGAGTTATTCTTTTAAAACTAGTGTTTTTATGATTAACTGCATTTAGAAGACGAAAACTAAAGCCTCTCTCTATCAAACAGGCCTGATTTACATGGAGATGTGATTGATCAACAGTCACTTATATGACAATATCCACTAACGCAAATTTAACAGTGCCACCTTAACATGTAAAACAAAGTTAAACTCAGTTTAAATATGAGAATGTTTTAGAGAAACACCTATTAATGTGAGAATGAGTTTCAGAAACATGACTGAGCTTTCTTAGGGATTAATTAACACTGCTGCTTCAAACTCAAATCATAAAGTGCTCCATGTGCGCACATCAGCATTTGCATACATTGCAGAATATGCCTGTGTGTGTGTGTGTGTGCATGTGTGTGTGTATACAGACCTTGGTCTTCCAGGCTAGTGGTGTCTGTATCTGTGGCTGAGGAGCCTCCTTCCATTACAGGACTGCCCTGCTCCCAGGACAGCAGCATCTTCTGGGGGTCCATAGTGCTCCTACAACAGTACATAACAGTACACAGTACATAAAGGACACTGTCACCACATCACACACTGTCACCACATCACACACTGTCACCACACCCTAGTAGTTCATCATGTCCTAAAGCTGGGGAAATTAAAACTCATTAAACATTGATGGCATGGAATTTTTATAAGAATAACGTTGGTGTGTGGCGGTTTCTGGAGTCTCAAACGCTCGAAGCTTCCATTAAAATGTTGGTTTTTTGTGTGCTCAACTGTGTAAATGTAAAAATGTATTTCAACAAATTGCTCTACACTGAGGTTTCAGATGGTGTTTCGCTGACTGACCGATGACAACACATACTTGAGCCTGTTAACAGATGGGGCGTTCTTCCAGGTGGGGTGGAGCTGGTCTGAGCTGAACACCTGACCTTTCTTCACGGCGAAGCCGAGGCGACAGTACATGGACACTGCGTTCTGATAAAACACAGGAGAAGCACACGCAAATGATGCTTGATCCGACAAATAACATATCTGAAACCATATGTACACTTATCAGCCACTTTATTAGGTACACCTGTTTAACTGCTCCCAGTCACATGGCAGACACGTAACGCATGTATGGAAAAACGTTTCCTGGTTTAATGAGCCTCGATTTCTGCTGTGACATTCAGATGGTAGGGTGAGAATTTGGTGTAAACAACATGAAAGCATGGATCCATCCTGCTTTGTAAGGGTTCAGGCTGGTGGCGATGATGTAATTGTGTAGGGGAGACTTTGTGGCTTACTTTGGATGCTTTAGACCCACTAAGCCTTATTTAAACACCACACATCTGATTATTGCTGCTAACCATGCAAAACCCTTTACTGCCATTAAGGCTGTTCTGAAAGCAAAAGAAGTCCAACCAAGTGCTGGGAAAGTGTATCTAAAGAAGTGGTTGTTGAGTGTGATAGTGATACAACAGAGAGATGCAATAATAAGGTAAGGAAAGAAGAAAAGTGGGTTACAGATTTTGCTCTAAAATGTCTTGAGACCGTCACCAGAAAATTTGGTATTTTTATCTCTCTCTTCTGGGAAACATTTCTTCCCGCATTGTGCGATGGTGCAATCTCTGATGACAACATCGCCCTTAGCTTTACCGCTGACATTTTTCTGACTAAATTTTCTTTTCTAGTACAGAAATCCACCCTGCAGTAGTAAGAGTAACTCAAAACTACGCTGTCTAGGTTCAGGCAGTTATATCCATACAAATTACAAACTTTTAAAGAGTTTATTAGCAAGATATTTTAATTCAGACCTCATTTAACATTTTAATCTAAATATCAACAGTAAATTAAAAATCCTGAAAAAAACAAATGTATTGTCAAAAAAAGTCAACCGTTTCAGTGCAAAGATGGACAAATGTCATACAAACGTGTAGCCCAAGAAAACCAACCCCCTCAGTTTGAATGGCTTTAAGAGGATTTGAAATTACATTGTCAAATTATACTGTAAACAGAGATACCTTGTGAGAGTCTCAAAGTGACTAAAAGCAATCTGAATAGTCTTTTGGATGATGCTCTTAGGGAGAAAAGAAAGCAATTACTGGCTGCTGACTCAACTGGTCTCAAAAACTGGAGAAAAAAGAAAGGTAGTACAGCTGTACTGTACAGCTGTCTGGCCTTTTCATTATTTCCTCCACTTCTACAGTCATCAACTCGCCATGCTGTTAAGTCTTTTACTCAGACATGAGCACAGTGAGCTTGATTGCTTTTCACACCTTTACACCCGAGAGGTGCAGGCTGAGGTCAACTAGTCATCCTCTTATCATATCAAAAGAGGCCCTGGGAGGAAGTTTCTTTCAAATGACTTAGGCCATGAAGTGGTTATTGCACAGGAGGAAAGTTCAAACTCAAGTCAGGATGGAGACCTCTCAGACATCTCAATCATCTCAGAAGCTACAGGCCTTCTGCTGGAGACTCGCTTTAAATCGCTGCCTTCAACCACTTCTCCTAAGTGCTGCTTTTCAGTTGCACCAATGAGATGGGACCAAGTGATGATGGAGTGCATCTGGAGCAGCAATTCAGCAGGAATGATGCCGCTCAGCCCCTCTGGTGGAGTCATGGGTCATGATGGATCTAATCGTGGTACTCAAATACACGTCTGCGTGAGGGTGTATCCAAACCGAAACGGCCAAATTGTGCTGAAATGTCTCCTCACTTGGCTACATATTATCAAAAGCTTTTCCCCCCCTCAGAGTTAGTCTCTGAAATTCCAAGACAACAAAGATCCGATGTGATAGCTGCTTATCAGACAAAATGCCACAACGTCACATCCTTGAAAAGCAAATTCCTATTCCTATGCAGCAAAACATATTTTTCAAAAAAAGCTGCTCCCTTTCTTTCATTTAATCTAAACGCTGCTCTGCCATGTGTCTTTGCAGACAAAGAGAAGCAAGAAGTACGTTTAACAAATCTCTTCTAAAGCAACAGTGGAAGCGCAGAAAATCACTTCTGTATTTTTCTGTGAAAATTTTGAAAGACATATTTCTCAGATCTACCATTTCCCTTCTGAAAAACTGCACTTCAGTTACAGTAGGATGAACAGATGCCTACCTTCACTAAGTCCAAGTCGATCTCCAACACATTTGCCAGCTGGGAAGCACAGAGGGAGGCAGGATCAGGAGACACAAAAAAAGTGTTTGGTTGAAATGTTGATCGATAAACAAACACACACACACTCTCTTACTATGATTGCAGCAGCCAGAGGATAATGAAACACATTTCTAAAGCCTACCTCTGCTACGTTTGTTTGCTCATCGATGGACACAAAGATTTTGTACAGAAGTGTTTCAAAGTAATCACCCTGGACCCGGTTCATGACAAACCCTTCCAGTGGGGGCACTGAAAGACACAAACAGTAACCAAAAACTGTTCAGCAACTCTTCAAACACAGAACTGTTTCCGTTCCCTTCTTTTTAAATACACTACAGTACTGTGCAAACGTGTGGACTGACCTCTTCATTTCCCACATTGATCCCACACTGCTTCAACAATGTTGAGATCCGAGCTCTGGGGAGGCCAATCCATGCCTGATTGTGTTTCCCAATGTGTGTTTTTCTATGCAGCTATGAATTTACTTGACTGACAGTGTGTTTGGGGTCACTGTCATACTGAAAAATGAAGCTTTTGTCAATCAGATGTTTTCTAGATGGAATTGCGTGGTGGATCAAAATCTGATTTATAATTCCATCAATTTACCACGACAGAGCCTCCACCGTGTTTTAAGCCCTCGCTGATTTGAGCATCACAGACCTGTTGCCACTGATTTTCAGTCCAGTTCTTGTGTAATTTGGCAAACCTCAGCCTTTCCTCCTATTTGACAGCTATCCTTCCACTGAGACCATTTCTGATGAGGCTTCAGTGAGCAGTAGATTTATCAACTGAAATGCCAACTATCAGGTCCTGTGTCAGGTCTTTGCTGGATTTTTGCTATTTCTTAAAGACATGGCTTGAAGATATTGTTCGTCTCATGCTGGGATATGCCAGGTTTTCAGCTAATAGTTGTTTGGGAATCATCTTGTTGGTGCAAAAACACTATTATGTCTGTCAAACTGTGTCATGTTTGACATTTTTCATTTTTCGACTATAGAAATGGGAACAAAAGAAGTGTTTTTGAGACAGGCTGACAGTAGCAAAATAACAAAAGATACAATTTAAAATTAGCTCTTCGCTCAGCAGCCTGGTACGTGTAGACACATATTTCAGTAAGATGCTTTTTTTGTGCTTGAATGATTCACAGATCAGGTGTTAAGTGGCTTAACAAACAAATGCATTCTGCTGAAAATGGTCAGTTACAAGGACTGGAGTAAAAATAAGTGAAAAAGCTGCCAATGTCCAAAAGAAAAACTTTTGCCAGAGAGCCTCGAGAATTGTTTCTTAAAAATCACTTGAAAAATTATAAGAAAATCTGGTTTCTTTAAGAAAAACATAAAGAAACTCAGGTTAGCTTGAAACGTTTGCACACTACTGTGTCTGTAATACTCTTATAACACGTGATTTCAGATCAGTGCAAATTCATTCCCATAATACTTTTTTAGCTTTTAGCATTTCATTTATGTTCAATATTTCAACAGCAAACTTTCTTAGCCAAAAAAAATAGAATAGGGATGTTTAAACACACACACACACATACACACGCACACACACGTACCTGAGATGCAGCTGTCATCAGATATGGGAACATCTAAGTAAATGAATCCCCGGTTGTACAAGCCTACAGCAGAGAAAAAACAGTATAAAATACTCTCTTTGTATATTTGCTGTTGCTATTTCCATGTGGAAACTAATATTATGACAGAACCTGTGCAGTTACTGCTTCATCAGAGTAGAATAATAGTATGCTGGAAAAACCTCAACCCAATAAAAATCTCATCAGAATATCTACACATATTCAGATTGCAAAGCGTCTCAGTGCATTTTATTCTATTTGTTGCCACTCAGTTACCAGCACTCCTGTGTAGAGGTTCATCACACTCAAACTAATCTCTAATTAACATCTAAGTTGCAAGAACACAACCTTCATCCCTGTGTTTCACCTCCGAAAATCAGTCCAACACACTGAGGTAAGACTGAATCTGTTCTTACTATAAACAACTAACAAGATTTAAATATTTGCCACCTAATTTATGGTTGAGCACGAGCAAATAGAACTGAGTATTTTGCTCACTTAAGACCACGTTGTACTCCATGGATCCTGCCAGCTGAGGACCAGAATCTATCATCTTATCAATGGCTTTCTTCTCAGCGGGAGAACAGATCTGCAAGTTGATCCAGTAAACAGATGACATTAGCACACACCTGTACCACAGAAATATGCTTCAAAAAAAGGGTTTTAAAAAAAGGACCCGTGATAATCCAACTTTATATTATGTGTTGTTTTCTGTTTCTTTATTTTTCTTGTGGAAAAAAAGAATTGTTAGAAGAATTTGCTCATTTATGTTTTAGGTTGAAAACAAAAACATTACACCAGTAATTCTTCACCGTCTTCACTACACTCATTTCATGTTGTTCCTTCTTCTCTTCATGTGTATGTTATCCTTCCTATGGCACATAAACATCTAAACAGACAGAATTACGCTAAACTTCCAACATGAGGATCCAAGCTTTCTCATCCTCCCTACCTATGTTCACCCAGGTTTCTTTGGCCTGTCTGTACCTTAAACCACATCGCTGTATGTATTCTGTACGGCTGTAAAGAGCTTGAGACAAGTATGTGATTTTTGACACTGAGCTTTCTATAAAAAAAAATGACAGGGTCTTATTGTACATTATTTAACTGAAACAAATCAAGAAGAAAAGAGTCAAATTTCTGTCGCACCCTTATGTCGTCCTCGGTGATGTAGCCTGTCTGTGCCACCCACCACGGCTCAACGGAGATCTCGACTGGTTTGGCCGGCAGTAGGTCCCGTGCTGTTTTCCTGCGGAAAAATTTCTAAAGGTGGAGACAAAGATTATTAAAGAGGGCTCAGCAATTAGCAGGTGAAGTGAGAAAAGTTAAAGATATTAATATTCTAACTACAAAGATGGACAAACTAATGGACAAGCAATCAAAGTAAATAAAGGAGAATTTACTTTAATTCAAGTTGCTAGTCCGTACTGACTTTACTAACCATCTATGGTACACTGTTGGGCCCCAGATTGCAAAGTATACCTGGCTTCGTTCAGCTTAAACAGACTAAAAAGAGCACAGGTGTAATAAAACAGATTAAAATACATATTAATGACATCTTACTTTGGAGGACCTGCACTGGTTCATCAGGTCGATGTACTGGTTTCTCCCAATGCCAAGTAGCCTTAGACCTGTGGGATGGTTGGAAACATGAGCCAGTCAACTTATCACAGGTGTATAAAATCAAGTCTGCCTTTACCAAAAATTATGAAGGAATGAGTTTCCCAAAAGAGTTCACTAAATTTAAATGTGGTACTTTTATTATTGGATTTGCAACAAGTCACTTTCTGAAATTTATTCCCCCCTAAATGTTCAACAGTCAGTTATAAGTGGTATTATTGCAACGTGGACGTTTTTAGGAACAAGAGTGCAGAGGCACATGGTGCATAAAAGTCACCAGTCCTGAATCAGTAACTGCAGTTTTAAACCTCCTCTGACATTAAAATCAGCACAATAACCGTGCACCAGGAGCTTCCTGGCATGGATCTCCATGGCTGAGCAGCTCCTGTCAGTGTAATGTGTAGGAGGCTCAGTACTTTTGTCCAGTCTAACCTGGCTGCAATGATCCTGCAATATTCAGTCTGGCTTCTTGTAATTACAGACATAAGACCTAAGACGTTCGTCAAGAAGGAAAGTTTGAGAATCAGTTCCTTTTTAGTGTTTTTCCAACTTCTTTCAATAAAAGTTATTTCAGTAAAAAACCCTCATGAGGTTTGTTCAAAGTTTGTGCAAGTCCAAACAAATCCCAAACAAGTCCCACACACCTTCTCCAATACAATTGCCTGACACACACACACACAAACACACACACAGGCACACACACACACACACACACACACAATCCATCCCCCAACCGGCAGACAGAGATAACAAGAGTAAGCGTGTGCATGCATATTTATTTCTAATCAAACGAACACATTTTTTCTGAATCTGAGGAAATTCTGGGCCATGTAGCAAAAAGTTTCATGTTACACTAAAATATTCAAATTTGTCTAAAACTCCCACCTCGTCCCCTCCCCTGTGCTGCGCTGGGTTGCAGGGGGGCAGAGTAAAACGTGCTGGGACAGGTGCCAACGCAAACAGGAACGAGTAAGATCGCAGAATCCTACACTTGCACCCTGCTGCTACACTGAGACACAGACACAACACACAAACATCCACCCACGTAAAACTCTCTCTCACACACTCTCACTGCCTCTCCATCCTCCCACTTCTGCATGACACACTTCCAGACTTCCTCCAGAGAGATTAGTGGAGTGAGGCCCCTCCGAGTACGGCTACGATCGCCTGCTGGCGGCCTTCTGCTTCCACGGCATGAAGGTCCTGCACTGCCAGGACTCAGCCACTCACTAGTCAACACCAAAGCCCATTTCAGCTGACAACTAAAAATCAAAGATCACAACCAGTGCCCGTGACTTTTAACTAATTTTAATCAGGCTCCACAGTCATTTCCCAGAAACGCGGGTCCTCAGAAATGAGGCCATTTTTTAGGGGGAAAAGCAATTTTCATTATAATTAAATGGCATTTACACCAGCCAATTAAAACCCATGGCAATGCTCTGGTTTGGTTATGGAAACACAAAGCAATTATTTAGGTTTGTTATTGAATTTAATAAGCGGGTTACAAAAGCATTCCTGTAATAAAATAACAAAACCACAGCAGGGTTTGGGCTTTGAGAGAACTAACAGCAGTTTTACTAAGAAGCCTTAAACCTCCAATATTCAAGAACCAAAAAACACTAAAACCACTTAGAAAAATGACTCGAGAAAACTGTACAGAGACAAACAACATGTGCTACTCATGCCTAAAAGCCAGGGTGCCAATCTTCATCTTTATCATCAGCTTTTCAAAAGCCAGATTTTCTGAGAAACATTTTTGACACGTTGCTTTAATTTATCTTTCAAATCTGATGTGTTACACAAGCTGTCTCCCCTAAATAGAGAAAAAGAAGTAGAAATTAAGTAAAATAAACTGCCAATTATTTCTCTTGATTAACTGCTTGGTGTGAAAAATGACAGAAAATAAAAATGTATTCAGTTTTTAATTAATAAAAATGGGGGGGGAATCAGGACATGCTGAAATGCCGAAACAAATGAATGTTTGCCAGAAGAAATTACTTAGGGCTCCTGACTCTTGTTCTCACACCTAATCTTCCTAAACTCTGGATCCTTTAACCATTCAATAACAAAAATAAACAATCAGCAAGAAAAAAAATTAAACAAGAACTGGGAAAGTTGGGGAGCCAGAGACAGTCAAGCCATTTTATAAGCGTAGAAGAGAAGAAAAATAACTCACAGTCAGCTGCAGTGAAGTTGGGCAAAGAGTCGTAACTCTTCTCACTGTTCATAATATCCTGGAGGTGGAAAGAAAAAAAGAGGAGAAAGGAGAAAAAAGAAGAATTAAACTAATTTTGTTCTCCCCTTTCTATGTCCCCTGTCTCTGATTAATAACAGGATTAGCAGATCTGAGCAGCCGTGCTAATTTCGACTCCAAGTTTTCATTAAGTGCTTAAGACGGATTATCAGAATATGACATAGCCTTTGGCAATTTAGTGGTCACAATTAAAGCTCAGTCAAGTTTGGTTTAGCGTGCAGCAGAAAGTGGGTGAAACCCCTCTCAGTGAGCTGAAAAATAAATGCTGTTCCTTTATGTGTATTTATAGGTTAGGTAAAAGAACATTAGCCACATCTGTCCTATGAAATGGGAAGTACACTAAATGTGGAACAATCGAATGTGACAGTTGGTATCTGCACACAGAGTTGTGGTAATGGAAATACATCTGAGAGCAGGCTGTATAAAGGAATTACACCAACTATGTAGTCAGCCACAAAATTGAAGTAATTCAATTACAAATGCATTATTTTCCATCTCCAGTCCCGTGAACACAAGAGCTCAGTCTTTGCAATCTAAATGAAAATGCCAAAAGTCAAGGAGAACCCTTCTCCCTGACAGACCGGTTCTCTCTGCTTTATCAGTGAGTTTGAGCTGTCGTGCAGGCAAAGCTCAGACTGACTGCAGAGCAAACAGCAAAGATTTTTCCCGGGTGTGTTTGCCCTGGGATCAATCCTGTGCATGGCCCTGAGCTGGTAGATGAGGCTTTACTAGACGCTGACTGACACCTAGTGCCTGACTGATGACAGATCTGGGGAACATAGGAAACATAGCATATTCCTCCCTAAAACTACACAATGTCTTATGACGTCCTTAATCTTACCTTTTAGGTTAAAAATGAACCAACACACAATCATTCTAACCAATGACAATACACCCATTTATCCTTTATGCAGGGTGGCCATAATAATCCAGCACATCTACTCAGGTGTACCAAACAATGCCGTATACTCGTACTATTCATGCAACAAAAGCACACTGAACTAAACAGCTGGGAGCTGTGAAAAGCTCAGATCCCTCTACTTGTATTGGTCTTTTGGAGTCCTTGTTTTGTCCCTGCAGTTCCTGCATTCATTCCCAGGGATGCCAAAAACTGAAGACATTGTTCATTTTAAATGAACAGACTGCATGTTTCCAGTCAATTAGAAAACCTTTGCCGTTGAACAATAAGTATGTCTGCTCTGTTCCTCTGGGTTTACCTGCCCCATCGTTCTAAAACCAACGGGAACTGACAGAACGACAGATGTTCAGGTATACGAGAGGCTGTTCACAGAGATTATGATAATGGGAGCAAAGTTAATGCTCTGGTATTGCACTCTTCAACGCAGCATGAGTTGCTTACCTCCATGATTCCTATGTAATACGAGAACGGGGTGACTCGTAGCCCTTTGACCATGATGTCAGACAGGTGGTAGGGGTACAGCATCAGGTGGTCCCGGCTGTACTTCAGAAGCTCCTCATAATATTTGCGCTCATCCTTCCTCACGTGGCGCACTGCTCAGAAAACAAACAGCAGTCAGAGTGTACATACAGAAACGATCTCTCTACATCAACATCACATCTAAAGTGATTCGATGTAATACATAATGCACTTTATTATACAGGTACATACACATGTTTAGCCACTGTATGATTATTAACAGTACAAGTATTTTCAGTTGTATATTACCTTTTCGGGTCAAATATGAAGGATAATCCTATGATCAACACCAAAAGCAGAACAAAACATGGACAGAGCTAATAAGACATCACCCACAGGTGAGTGGAGTCCCATTTTTAACCCGTGTGCTTCCTGTTTTTGCTGTAACTTTTTTGAAACCTGACATAATGAGTGAAAGTTAGTTCTAAATGGGAACCAGAGGACACTGCATTCTCACTCGCTAACTGACAAGCAGGATCCAATAGCCGTGTCCTGGTTTATCCTCCTAATTATCACCATAATTTACAAAATAAACTTTGTGTTTTGTTGAATTTGCTTTGAAAGCAGAGAGTGGGATTACAGTTCCATCAGAGAAGTGTTTACTGAGGTCACAGAGCCATGAACCTTAGTGCTGTTTTCCCATAGACTTTTATAAAATCAGAAGTCTTACTGCAATGATAAAATAGCACTGGGGTATGTTTCTCTGCAAGGTGATATGGTGAGAAAGTTTTTGCCCATCATCAAGCACTCTCTGGTGGGGTTATATTTATCCTGCTACAAACCACTGTCTGTCTATTAATCTAACACTCAAACATCATGTAGCTCACCCTGTATGTTTACCCCTGCTGTGTGTGTGTGTGTGTGTGTGTGTGTGGGGGGGGGGGGGGGGGGGGGGGGGGGATAATATTGCTCACCTAGGTTATTGCGGAATCGCAGCTGGTTGCGGATGCTGTACAGGAGCACTTGCTTCTCATACTCGCGCTGAGAGTTCCCCAAACTCTGCAGAGAAAGGAAAATGCCCAGGTCAACCACATTAATGTGTCAGGGGATGAAACCAAACAGGGCCTCTTTTAAACCTCCTGTTCTCCAGCTGTCTGTGAAATATTTTTCCATACTGGAATATTTCCTGCTATTAGATGTGATGTCATATGTGTTGAGAAACGTGTGAAACCATATTAACTGCAAAGATGCAATGAGGGATTTGAATTTGACACAGGCTAAGAGGTAGGTAATAAAGCAAGAAGCATCGTCTTGTGCTTGATTTTGGTAGCACATACCTACAGCATACTTCTAGTTACTTACAAGGCCAATACACCAGTTGGTATTGGACCAATAATGACCTTAAGCAGATCAGATATCAGCAATGACCTGTCTGATCCTCAATGGACAGTTTATGTGTCATGATGTAATCCACAGGTTTTAGAGCCACAGTAGCCCCTGGATTCATGATAACTCACACAAAAAATGAGAAGAGATATTTTAAATTAAAGGAAAATTAACAATGGAATTGGGGCATAAGCTTAATATTGTATCTAAAGCTGTTTTGAGCGAGAGAAAACTTGTTATATTGTGCACATCAGGCCAGATGTGTACACCAGGGGCCTCTGGAGTCTCACTGTTTCTGATGAGTAATCCAACTTTTCAGAGGGTGTATGAGGATGCAGCAGCTCAAACTGCTCATCCACCCACCTCCTCTTCACCGAGACATGTTGGCGTAGTGGCACAAGAAGAGAAGGGGGGATCGTGCATTTGACTGACTAACTGTAACAGCACATTTCAATAGCATTAAATGCACCAGGCACAAATACGTAAAAGCCGTATCTGCAGGTGACATACACGCTCTAAAATCATGTGGTGCCCCCACCCCCACCCAATCAAACAAACTGTCATGTGATGCCAGTGTGGCTTCAGTAGCTGGAGTGTAATGATGGTCAGTTATGGCTCCGGCTGGATGGTGAAGCCCTGCAGAGGACGGGGAGCGAGCAGTGCGACACTGACAGCTGCCAGTATGACAGAGAGCAGCCCCGGTGACATTGACAGGTTCCCCTTGCGGTGTCCCCCCTCTCTCCGTGCCCACAGGAAACGTTAAAAGTCGGTACCTGTTTGACGTTAGCTGGGAGCTTGTTCCACGGGTAATTCTGCCTGATGTGAAATTCCACGTCCGTGTTCATCGCTAGCTAGCTAGCTGGCTACAAGTAGAATTCCTCGAGATGATCGGAAACGGGCTCTCGGGAAAGTCCACGGTGACCTCGCCCCCCCCGGACACCCAGCAACCGAGCGAAGGGACCCCCGGTTTGAGGAGAATTTTTTTCTCCAGCGGTTATTTTCCTTCACAATAAACCGTAACTTCCTTGTTGTATTTTCGAAAGAGCCGTTCGTCACGCTCGTGGCTACTTTCGTCACTTCCTGTTGAGGAGTGACCGTGGACCTGAATGGAGCAGGAGAGAGCGGAGTTTCAAATGAGAGATGATGTTAGCGCCGTCCAAATCAATGGTTTATCTTAAAGTGCGATTATTACTGCATTATTTTTAGTATTTTTAGCACATGTGGAGCATTTTCCACCCCCACGGCAGCCTGTTTTAATCCTAATGAAGACGTGAAGCCAGAAAGTCAGTGCCGGTCTGACTGACTGGATGGGCCACTTTGACTGGGGGGGGCATCCCAATGACATTTTGGGATGGGCCTCCATCTCCCAAAGCCTGTCCATATCACTGATGATGCAGAAAAGATATTCTTTTGTTTGAGGGAAAAGTCTAAGGAATAGTCTAAACCTGCAGGGCTCTGCATGTTTTTGGAATCCTGCTCAAACTGGAGTAAATATTATATATGTCTGTAGGCTATGAGCATATTTTTCACACTCGTACTGTGAGTATTTGCATTTAGTGTGGGTCAAAATATTGATACAGCAGTATCTTATTATTGCTTCCACTGTATTAGCTGGGGGGTGGGGGTTGGGGGGTCAAAAGAGGTTATTATTTAACTGAGACATTATTGAAATATAAAATTTATGATAATACACACAAACTTAGATATTTTGATGTAGCATATAATGATACTATTGGTGTTGATAAATGGTCTGGTACATGTATGTTTATATTATTTCTAACCAATTTCAGTACTCATAACACTTTTTTCTACAAGTCTCCCCTGTGTATCTAACATTCAGATCCACAAACTGTCGGCAAAATGTTGTCATAGTATCATTGTCCCACTTATGAGCAACTCTAGCTTCACAGAAAGACAATACAATAAAATACAGTGCAATACTTGCAGATAAATTTGGTTAAAAACATAAATTATCGCCTCTAATCTCTTGTTCTACATGATTGTCAGGTTTGCATCTGCACAACTCTGGATTGATGTGGATTTAACTACACAGTCATCTTTAACACAGGGCATTATAATTAGCTTAAGTAGCTTGAAATGCTGCCATCGTTTTCCTGTCAGACATAAAAGTGCAAAGCCAAAGTGATCTGTTAAAACACTTCTATCACCTGAGATAATTTTTGGAAAAGAAATTCCTTCATTATTTAGGTCCCCCAATCTGTCTTTCTCTCATTTTCACACCATAAAAAATCCTTTAGTGTGATAATATATCTTCTGTCCCAGTAGGTCTGTTATCATATCTTTATTCTGGTCAGAAAATATATACAGTATATTTTAATATTTCAGTGAGTGGTTAATGTGATCATTGTTCAGCAGTGGAAACAAAAGCAAAATTCAGGTTTGAAGCCGGTATGATTAACTAAAAATAGAAAATCATAAATCTGTCCCTGCACCCTGACCTGGAGCTTTTATGAGTTGTTTTTTGTTTGATTTGCAGTTTTGTTCTTACAGGAATCCGACGTGTAAGCATGAAACTATCACTTAGTGACTGGTGACTCAGTGTAAGATTTCACTGCAACACCAAAGTGGCTTCTGCTCTTGGGTCATGATATCTGGCTTGCTGACAGCTCACTTTCTTGCAGCTATGTCATTCAATCTGCCTGCATGTAACTTCAGTTCCCTGTCATATGCCGCTAAGCAAACATGACAGTAATTCATCTGCCTGGCAGACAACCGGCATAACTCCATGGAGTGCAGAAAGGGGCTGCAGATTGAGAATCCTCATGACATTATAGCTCACAGATAATATAAGGAAAAGAAGGTTTAAATGTCTCTGTAAAGTCACACAAGACTGATTTGAAAAAATATCACAAGAGGCTCAATCTGATCTCTGAAGGAAAGGAAATCTTTGCACCCTATTTCTGTAACAGTGTTCCCCAGCCTTCTCTGGCGTGTGATCTCTTAAAATAAAGCGTTGTCTACTTGTGAAACACCTCATCTAAGGCTACAGTATGATATAAAAGCTGTGAAAACACACATTGTTTCTAAACTAGAAGCATAGAGATGGAAGAATAGTGTTTCTTTTTTTTAATTAAATATACATTTTTTTAAAATATACTATTAAAGTTCTTCATAGTCTCAAGGCTTTAATGTGCAGGGGCTAAAGTGGGATTTAACAGCAAGGGGAAGCCTAAGTATGATCTGCTGTAGCCATGCAACAGCAAACAATGACTCACCTTAAAATAAATACCAAACCTGATTACTACTGTGAGCTGCAGAGGACATTTTTGCTTTGTGAACAGCGATCAGACCTTCTGTAACCCTGAGCTTTTCTCCTCTGCTTGTGTTTAATGTAAATAATAAAAAGGAAAGGAAACAAACTGTCAACTTTATTTACATTTCAAACCATCTCACATGATGTCTTCTCACAGCAGCAGCAGCTTGTTTTATTAAGTAATGTCTAATAATCAATTTTTTAAAATTTCTTACAACAGCTATTCTTTATGTACTGATCATGTAATTCCTCTAGAGACAGTACTTATTATTGTAAGACTCATTCACACTCTGAGTACACACAGGGGAGTCACAAAAAGTGATTAACTAATAAACTGCTTGTAATTTTATGAGCCTCACAGTTAACTCTCCACCTGCTAATGCACTGAGGTCCAGGCCTCAACTTTCAGAGTCACCGATCGCTATCAACAAAACATTTCTCTGTAATGTATTCTGTGCTTTTAAATTTGCATGTATTTTTGAAACTAGTACATGCTCATGCTAGTAGGTTTTGGTCCGTTTGTGTTGTTTTAAAGTGATGTACTTAATCACAAAGAGAGAAGTTTTTTTAAAAATAGACTGGCAGATGTTTATGTACTAAAAATGAGTGACTGTAGCCCGTTGCTAGGTGATTGCCAGGCATGTAGTTTAGCTTTTGTGGATGTAAGTGATGTACTGTCGTGAAATAAAAAAGAAAAAAGAATGGTTTCATAAGGTGCTACAGGTGCACAAATGCTACAAAACAGGTAGCCTGCATTTTGTATGCATCATTTTATACATAATTAAACTTTGGGAATAGAAATTAGATGTTACTGATGCAAAATAAAAAATTATATGACACTTTTATAAGCTCTTAGAGATGCATAACTGCTAATAATAGGTCATTTTGGCCAGTTGCTATGTGGTTGTCAAGCAACATAATGACATCATTACACATAATTCAGCCTTTTTGGATAGAAATTAGATGTTACTGATGCAAAATAAAAATTGTATGACACTTTTATAAGGTGTTATAGGTGCATAAATGCCAGTAATGGGTCATTTTAGCCATCATGTTGCCAAGCTAAGTGGTTGCTTGGCAACATGATGACCTCATGATATCTGATATAAATGTGGACCTCCACGTTTGGTTGCTCAACTCTTAAAGGTATGGCAAATACTTCTTGATGATTTGACACACACAGTGCAACGAGTTAACTGTCAAACGGGTGATTAATAGCAACAGTGGTCACGTCCAGTTGTGCACGTTCATGGACACTAACAGAAACACCACCACACCTTGAAAACTGAGCCCAGTTCTTACAGCTGTTTCTCCTGATCAAAGTGGCCCATCAGCACCGTTCTATATTTGACTACATCCTGGGTTACACACATGAGGAAGGGGGAAGAGGAGGAGGAGGGATGAACTTGGACGGCACTAGAAGACAGACAAGGGTTAGCAGCTCGGGGACACTTTGATGAAAGACCAGCCTGGGTGGGAACAATGCCTGAGTCAGGACCCTGTGATGGTTCCCCTTCCTGCGGCTATTGTAAACACTCCCTCCACTGGACCCTGGCTGAGTTGTTAAGCTGGCAGCTGGGTACCAAACAGCGCTGTGTCACATGAGAGGCCCGGCTGGAGTCACAGTGGCCCAGGATACTATTCTTAGCTGTAGGAATGTACACAGTGGCCTCATGGCAATCTCCACAGCGCCTAACTGGAAACCCTTCCCTGAGTCACTACCCATTTTCTCTCTGAGTAATGCTTAAACTGTCTTTCATTTGGAATTAATCCTTTTTTTCTGTCAAGACTGACGACTTTGGATAATATTGGTCCTCGAGGACAGGAGGTAAGGGCTGAGCTAACCACAGATACTGCTGATGAACTGGAATCATCTTGTTCACACAGATGTTTGTCTCAAACTCCTCAGTTTAACTCCAGTTTTATTATTAAATCTTCAAATGTGAAATTTCTTTTGTATTAGCATAACTCTTAGTTAAGAATCTATATTTTCTGGTTAAAACGTTTCCTCTTGTTTATTGGGCATTTAAAGGAGTGAGTCATTGCATTTTATGACATTTCTTTATTTAGACTGGAAATGTTTCTCAAAAATATGATGCCATGCTATAAACTGTCTGTTAAAAGTGTAATAATTTAAGCTGCGTACATGATCAATTCATCACCATCACCACTGTTGACTAAGTGATTAAGGTGCAGATGGATTATTTTTAAATTCAGATGCAGTTTATCATGAGAGGTTCTGCAGCTCCACCAGCAGCTCTTGTTTGAAGTCTGAACTCTTGTTTGAACTCCCAGTCGTGAAATGCCACTCACAGCTATTGGCATTTAATAATATACAATAATGATTAGTGGTCTAAATATATCAGACAGGCTGGACCATGTAAGTGGGAGTAAATCGGTAGCTGGCACGGAGATGATTTGAAGACTTAATGTTGCTAATAGCCCAATGAAATTCATGCTCTTTAAACAATAGGATCACCACAAACCCTCCAGCCAGAGAGAGACACATTGGGACTAAGAGAGAAAACATGACATATAGAAAAAAATAACAAGAGAGACTGTGAGGCCAGTCCAGAGAGAGATGGGTTGCAGAGACAAACACAGATGGTCCGCTGATACAGTTCTGTTTATGTTAGTGATGATGGGCAGCTTGATTACTGAAATAAGCCCTAATGGCACACGAATCCTGTGAGATCATTTAGACAGGATTTGGAACAGAAATCTGTGTCAGTCATTCACATTAAAGACAGCTGCTACGTGGGAGGTTTAAGAGTTTGAGAGGAGACGAATAAG